GATTCTTATGATGATTTCCCTTGGTAAACAGATCTACGATCGCTTCGCTCCAGGACGATTCCCTCATAAGATCGTCAATTATTATCAATTTCGCACGGGATCGTTAGAATAATCTTCCGGACGTGATAATCTCTCGTGAAATTCGATTGTGAAATCTGGAGTTTCGTATTGAAGCTGCTGATAAGCATTCTGCCACTCGGCATAATAAAACAAAATTCTCTCAAACAGACATCTGACGTAACGGATAAATGATGAAGAAATCTCTTTACAAAGATTGTTTTCCCACACACGACCGATGTCCATGGATGTTTTCAACGCACATCCATTTCGCGAAATGAACGTCTTGCGCGTCGTTCTTAGTTTAATAAACAATGGGATGGGACATTTGAGATTCTTAATTTTTTCTCAGAGAGATTTTTGAGATTTTTGAGATTTTTTTAGATTAGCTTACTCGCGGAAGAGCATCTCTGCGGCGGGGGTATGCTCGCGCCAACATCTTCGCGTAACTCACACTCGACCGCGAAAAGCGTCGCTCGTACGCTCGTGCGAGCGTTCACCGCGAGAACACCGACGCTAACGAGCTTGTACGCGGTGCTCCTCGAATGCTAATTCAAGCCGAAGAAATTTGCTCGCAAAAAAAGTGATTGAATACTTACTTGCGGACGTAAAAATTTATACTTTTTTCTTTTACATATTTTATTCTCCATCGAAAATTCAAAATTTTTTCTGTATAAAAAATTAATTTTAAAAGAAAGTATGTGTTATAGTAATGTGGAGAAAAATTGAGAGTTTAAAAAACTTTAATTTTACAAAAGGTTTATTATACTTTTTCTTACAATTAGAAAAATAAACATTTTTATTACATTTTCTCTTAATAAAAGTAAACACAAATTCACATTTTTAATTTTACAAAATGTTTTCTAATCGAAACTTCGAATAATAAACATTTTTCGAATTACATTTTTCTCTTAAATTTACTTAATAACTAAAATAAAATAAACTTAATTTTTACAAACATATTTATTTGGTATACATACTTACATTCGTACGAGGACGGGGAAAATCCGATCCTTAACCTAACTTAATTTTAAGTAAATATCACATAAAACCGTACGAATAAGAAAGGCGATTGTCGATAAATCGATGTTTTAATAAAACTGGAGCACATGTTTTTATCTCGTTTTCGCGTTATTACCTCGTGAAACGCTGTGCGATGAATTGCTTTAAATCGCAGATTTATCTCTTCTCTCTCCTCTCTTTCCCTATTTAATAATAAATTATAAATACTATTAAAATTAAGCAGCTGCGAGTTTTCAAAATTTAGTTTGATCCCCTTTATCTTACATGTTTTATATTTGTGTCCGTCCGATATATATACCACGTACGCGTAAAATTTCGGTCCGCCAGATACAAACGCCTCGATGAAGCTACCACATCCGTAACTTTCAAGTTTGTCAGTCACCCAAAAAATCACCTGTACACGATTCGTAGTCATTAGGATCACCGCTGCTCGTATATATACAAGAATCTGTATTATAATATAATACGCGCTGGTCTAATTTTTCCAAATATTCGTATAATTTTAAACGCTCTTGTGCCATCGTGTACGCCGCTATCACCACATTAATTATTGGTGAAGGTACCATCGCTTCGCTCTTTAACCACCTCATGAAACATATATTGCATCCTCGTTGACGGGCAATATGCCGATTATCTCATGTTCCGGGCTTGATAACAATTCGGCGAAACGTTGAGGGGTTCTTATTATTTCCGTATTCGGCAAGTTACTTCGCTGGCCGAATTTTCCCCAAAACGAATTGAGACAGAGTTTGGCGACGGAGCGTAAGCCGGAATTACGTACGATGTTATTTTTATTAAGAATGATACCTTCGGTTGCTTCGTACTCCCTCAGTAACATTCTTTAACAACATCGTCGTTCTCGTACTCGCTCAGCCATCCACTCGCCTCTTGCTTTAGTTGTAAAAAGGTGTTGATATACCCGGCAAACAATCCACCCTGTTGCATTTCGAGATTATATCGCGTGGATTTGTATTGCCAAATTTCATCTACCTATGTCACGAGATATCCTTTTTCGATTGCTTTGCGTAATTCACAGGATACCCATGTGCCCTCGAACTCACGCTCCGCAGGATCATCGTGAGTGCACGCATCGCGAGAAAATGTTTCACAGCATGTACGACAAAGAGCGAATAATAATTTACCGTACATGATACGGCAATACCAAATGGAAAAGATCACGCGGGGTGAGTACTCGACAATGTACGAGACTCTCGACTGGACTGAAATTAAAATTTGGCGCAATTCCAATTAACCTATTGCATTCCTCGCCTACATAAATATCTGGATGATTGGAAAAACTCCAGTCTTGAGTATGTACGGATACAGAGAACATACGTTTACGTAGCGTATCTTCTCGGTACCCGAAAACCTCGTATCGAGTCACGATATTGCCGATGCGTCCACCAAAAAATGCGTCATGAGAATCGAGAGGCGAGATTTGTACCATAGGGTGATTTTCAAGAAATTCTCATATCTCTCGATTCTCACGCATTTCTTCGTCAAAAACGCACTTCCATTTTTCCGTTAGGATATATCCCTGCTGACGTAACCGCTAAGACGTTGCAACCGTTCGTTCATAACGCGTGTCAATCGTATCTTTAAAATTCCCGAGCGTTTTATCGCGATTTATTGGATAAGATGGGCATCTGTGAAAAAAACATCCGTGAAATTGCAAGACATGACATTGCGTCTCACCTCCATTCTCACATTCGTAATACCCATCGACAAGCATGCTTTCCGCTAATCGATATTCGCGTCCGCGTCCCGCGTGAATTATTCGATGACCGATCTCGCGTTCCTTCAAAATTAGCCATTGCACGGCTTTGCGCGACTGGTTATCTTTAAATCGGTATCCACCCGATGGAATGATTCCTATTTCTCCTTCACGCAAAAAGTTTTTCCGAAAAATTCTCATGCACGTTGAAGCGATAGTTGCATATTCCTCGAACACACGGACACACGTTTTCCCACTTTAAGAATATTTTTCTGAACGCATGCTTGTCGAAGGATATCAATGTTAGTGCGACAATATTCGAGTATTTCGCGTTGAAAATCAAATATGGTATTTTTTTCTGTCATTTTCGCGTGCCACGCAAAAAAACGTTTCCTCTGTTTGCATTGTTTCGGGCGAGTAATAATGAACATCCGGTAGCGGCTCGACATATGTTTGATTATCAATAATATTAAATAAGTGAGGAAAGACACCTTTGTCACAAGTATCCAGATAATCCGAAGGCCTTCTGTAAACGCAATCTGACAAACGCATCGGCATATAATACTATCGATAAATTTCGTACGATTTGCTGATAAGACCATAATTTTTGTTCCGTTCAAAATTATACGAAGTTCTAATCCGGAGTAATTTTCAACAATGTACCGCAGGATAAACTGTGTGTCGAACGATTTCGTGTTATGCGCTATACAAATGATCCGAGTAAAATGTTTCGTAAGGCGTGTTACAAATTCGACAAATTGTTTTACAGGATTCTCCCGAAAAACAAATTCGCGCACTCCACACCAGTCGCAGCGCACCGACAAATTATCTATCTCCGCACACGAATCGCAAATCTGTTGCGCGACGCAGAAAGTCGAGATGTGAATTTTTATATCGGTTCCCTCAAGCGATTGATCTTGACGCGTCTCAAAATCATAAAACATGAATGCCGTTCGCGTTTCCGCTCATCCGCGTTATTCTGCTGGCTCTCTCTCGTAATTACAGAAGAATCCCCGTCGGACTCAACAGCGGAGGAGGATCTGTCTTCACGAGAGAGTTGCATGTAGCAAAGCGGTTTTTGCGAACTGCAAATTTTACAAAAAGAAACGCCACATTCGTGTTTTTTTGTCGCTTTTATAACCTGTCCGTAACCTTCGCAAAATCAAATGGTATTACAGACATTCGCCGGAGTTTTTCCGTCATACGACTTTGTCGCGAGATGATGCTCGAAGCATGCGTTTCCAAAGAACAAATAGAATGCAAACGTTTGCAAATTTCACACCTAACAAGTTTTACGATTTCGCGCCTATCACACGGCGGCACGTTGTTACATTTATTTGAGAAGCGATGACCTCTTTCCTCGCAATATTCGATATTGCATGATATGCAATAACCTCTTCTACTTCCCGCGACCACTTTTAAATTTAAAATAGGATTATAATGATGTTGACGTTCGTAATATATAATATTTAATCGGTATAAGGGCTCGCGTTCTAAACGAGTACCGCGGTTTCGTCGAATAAAGACAAAATTATAAACAACAATCGCGATATCGGATGCGGCGAGAAAGCGTTGGAAACATTCTATTTCCCGAATCTCACATGTGCAATGATGACGCCAGCCCTCCTCGTCAAATCCAGCGCGAGATCGCGTTGTAACGAGGAATTCTGAGTCTTACCGCTCGTGGTGGTTCCATTGTTCGTGAAGTTCCCCCGCTCGCAACGTTCATGATAAATTTGCGCGGCTATGAGAGAGCGGGGAAAACACAACTTATCCGAATTGGAGATTGTTAAAATCGAACGTTTCGCAACGTCTTCCCGTGTAAGTTTATTCGAAACGCGCCCGCGATCTCTGGGTGCCGTGACATTGAAAACGCGTACGTTAAAATTCTGCGCGATATCGAGACCACCGGCGCTTTGCGCTACTGAACTCACAAGACGCCAAATGTCCTCATGAGTTAAGTCGCGTGCCGGTCGAAACGATAATCCTACCGGACCGTGCGTTAAATCTTTCGAATCAAATGAAAATCCCATGCGGTTCGGAGGTATGCAACAAATTTCAGCGAATACGTTTTCAAGCCAATTATAAAGCTCGACTCCTTCGGGTAGCGGACGCAAACGGAATATCACCTCCCTTCCTAATATCTCAAAATTTCTAAACCGGCGCGAATTTTCTTCGATTAATAGTAAATGGTTAAAATTTCTACCTCGTGCTTGTTCCCTTTCCTCCTCCTTCTCCTCCTCTGTTTCCTCTTCCACTTGTCCCTCTCTCACCTCTTCTTCCTCCCTTTCTTCGTCAGGTGTTTCCTGCTCCTGTTCCTCTTCCTCTTCCTCTTCCAAATTCTCCTGAGCAGGGAGTATTTGATTTCCTCCACGGCTGCGGCTCTTCGATGTTCGCTTTTGCATAAAAGTTACAAAAATTAGAATTTTACTTTATAAAAAATACTTCGATAATGTTTCGAATATTATGTTCGTATTTAATTTAATAAACGTGCATACATGATATTTTTCGCCGAGGTAACCCGCCTTTTAACCTTTAACGTCTCCTTCTCACATGATGAATAGAGTTGAGAGGAATTCCAATTAAAAAAATTCGATAATTTAAAATTAAATACGAACATAAATCGAGAAATTAAGAAAAAAGTTTATATATCAGCAGGAGGTGTTTCTCTTCGGCTTCTCGTTCATCCTCGCGTTCCTCCTCTTCCTCCTCCTTCTCCTCCTCCTCCCCCTCCCCCTCCCCCTCCCCCCTCTTCTTCCTCTTCCTGCTCTTCTTTCTGCTCTTCATCCCCTCCCTCTTCCGGGATTACGGGAGAATATATATGATCGTATTCTAGGAAAAAGTATATCATAAATTTTTATTCACGATATTAATATTATGTCCTTAATTAATATAATTATTATGTCTTTTAATTAATTTTTTCTCTTTATCAACTTACTAGGCGAAAACACACGCTGGTCGGGAGTACTTACTTCTGTATCTGAAAAACAAAGTTATATTAAGATTTTTTATCTTTTACTATTTGTTTTAGAGATTATTTATTTGAAAATGTAAACCTATCAGACGAGAGCTGGATATTCTGAAGGCGCCTCTTCTTCCTGCATTAATTCAACACGCGCTCTTCCTAAAAGTATTTAATATTTTAATCTTAGAAAATTGTAAAAAATTATATTTTTAATATTATTCCTGTCTAGTTTTTTTAGTGATACTACACGCTGGTCTTGCTTCTGGCTCTTCCTCCGCGTGTCGCCTCCGAATCTGCGTGAGAGGATACACTAATGCAGTAACCCTTTGACGAGCATTTCCTTCTACAATTTATTATTAAAAATTAGCTAAACCGAGTTTGTTATTCGAATTACTTATATATAGAAATAGTAGCGCGGTGCTTACCATTATGGAGATGCGAGAGGAGATTTTGGATGTGTCCACTTACATTCTCCTCCGTGTCCAGCTGCATGTCGCGACTTAATTATTTCTCCGGCAATCCGGAGTTACCGCGCGTCGGTACCAAAGTATCCTAATTCATACAATACTCTCAATATTGTATCCTAATATTGTAAGTTTTCGCTTAAAAGTGAACATTTAATCAAAATTCTCTCGTCAAGTAATATGGTCGGACCACAAGAAGCTGCGATCCCGCTAAAGTAGAAAATATTCGCAAGATATTTAAGAACTCTGTGCAAAATGTGCAATAAAATTTGTTGCTTTCTACGACGTATCCTCTCAATACTTCTCATACGAAGAAATTACACGTGGGATTACAATTATCTAAGAAGAGTATCTTCGAGCCTATCGTCAAATTGAGTGGTAATTCTGCAAAAGATATCAGCTTTGATCCGAACACGTGGCAGCAATTTCAAGAGAATATTCGAGACAACGCGTACTTTAATGGAAGCAACAAAAGCAAAGTAAATCCTATCACATTTGCAAACATATTCATCAACTTCACCTCTGCCTACGGAGCGAAAGCTTTATTGGTGATGTATAAGGAAAATGAAAATTTTCCTAAAGAAAGCAGTACTCGAAATACACAAGCAGACTTGAAAGCGAAGGAACAACCACCGTCGAAAAAAAGAAAAACTTACCGTCGCAGTTGTAATGCAGCAAGTTATTTTTCAAGGAATGAAGAATATTATCAAATGTGTCGATGCTCGTATAAATCAGCTAGCATCTTGTCGTCGATACTGTTAACGAGTGCGCATGTTATTTGATCAAGGAGAGAACTATGTCTACCTAACAATTACATCGATGCCGATATCATCAAACTCACTCTCCGAAGCAACCAAAAGGATAATCGAAGTTGCTGTAAGAACGCAAATAAATAATTTATCATATATATATTGTCGCGCTCGCGACGAATTTACTCGTGTTATACTTGCGCCAAGGAAGGAAGAGAGAGAGAGAGAGAGAGAGAGAGAGAGAGAGAGAGAGAGTAGAG